CCATTATCTGTGTTTCAGTATCATCAAGCTCACTGGTCATATTTTGATCATCATTCAACTACGCAACAGTGCCACAACAAATTTACTAGTAGGAAGTGTAAGTGTTATGCCCTAGATCCAATCGATTTAGGTTGTAAACGCTTTTAATATGTTTAATGCATTTAATTTTGATGAGATCTATTATTTATTTAAATGAATTTTGTGATAAATAATATAAAATAATAGAATCCGAAGATCCAAGTTTAAGTGATTTGTTAATCACAAGGAGTTGTGATTGTGAGATACAAACTACATATAATTGGATCTTGAATAAACCGTGGTCGTAAGTAATAACGAGATACAGATATCTAATACAGTTAGACTATCACGTGTGGCATTTCTTACTTGTGAAGTAAGTAGCTGATCTCACGAGTTAAAGTGTTGTGACACTTAAATGAACACATGGATGTTTTGTTATAGAACAAAACATTGGAGACCCGTTAAGAAATTCTACATGGATAACTATCTGAGTGTTAGTGGTTAATCTCTAACGTTCGGTAATGAAATTGGTCCTACAACTTGAGATCATCATAGTGCCCTGTATGAGGACAGTCATATTTTGACAGTGTTGGATGTTGTTCTGCCAAGGGCCGCTAATACGACATCGTTCGGGTATGTCAAGAACCATATGAAGGTTGTGAATGACCAATAGAGGATTCGTCACTCTTAGATAGTAAGAGATTGTGATCTGCACTTCGTTCAATTAAGTCAATAACGAAATCTTTGGTCAAGGTGTACATATAAGTCGAAAAGGAGTTTTCGACTCATATTGATTTAATAGAAGAATAAAAGATATGATCGATAATCGGGATTGACACACTTCCATATCTCGTAGTTGATCAGATCATATTGACGAAGGGATTATAATTTCATGGTAAACGAACAGTTTTAATTTTGTCATACCACGTGACATTTCCCGTCACATGTGTTGCTTTGATACATTGCTAGATATCAATCTGGGACGACGAGTATGAATCTATGATAAATTAAAAGGGTGTTTAATTTATCAGTTTTGATTAGATCAAAATAATATTTCACGTCATTAGGCATCGTGGTCGGGAACCTAATGGGTCGCACACAAAAGAGAATTGAAAGATTGCAAATTGCCAATTGATTAATTTAACAATCGTTGGATAAATTAATTAATTGGATTTGTTATTTATATTCCCGAATTAATTAATTGGATTAATTAATTCACGGATCGGATTTAATTAAATGGATTGATTAAACATTGGACTTGACCGGGCCGAGCCTGTTTGGGTTTATATAAATATATGACTAGGGTTTGAGGCCCATAAGATTTTCATTATTCTTGCTGGCACAAGAGGAAAAACCCTAGTAGTTGCAGTCTATTCTCTGTGTGGATTTCATTGGAAGTTGGACAATTGGACAGCTGTAGGAGGCAGATTCAAGCTGCTGGAAAGGAATAACGCGAAGGAGTTTGCAAAATCAAGAAAATGTATATTTCTTATCATAGTTCTTATCTAAATACAAAGTTGAATTCTGAATGGGAATTGAAATTTGATTAATTTCGCTGTGCATGTTTAAGTAAATTCCCAACAGGAAGTTGAAACTTGGAAAAGATTCAGAAGCATTTAGATAACGACTAGTGGAGTCTGACCAAAGATTGGGATAAACTTATATTTAGAGATTCTTGTAAAACCTACTATAGTTATTATCTGACCAACATTATAATCTACCTGAATTTCCGTTTCTGTACTCTGGCCTTCTGTTACTTCACACGATCCCTCAAAATCAGCTGGATCTTCTATTCTGTTAATCTGATTGCCTCCTCCTGCTTTATTGCATATATTACTACTGTTGTTGACAGGAGCATCTAATGAGGGAACATCATCTTTTCTTTCTTCCAGTTGATGAGTAATGTTCAGATCCTTCTTCCATTCGTTGTTCTCACTGGAATGAGTAACCTCAAGTTTCGTTGTCTGTATAAAGAGAATTGTGTTAGTACCGTGTAGAAAAAGGATCAAAAGTTACATACATATATAAGCATACTATCTCCTTGAGAGAAGCTAAATTAATTTCACTTTCGTGCATCAATAGCTCTATTTCTACCTCTTGGCAAACCTTAATCGATTCATCAGCTGTAGTTTCTAATTGAACGGTGGTATCATGTCCCCTGTCCATCATCTTTGCTTCAATATCATTAGGCTCACTAATCATCTTTTGATCATCATTCATCTCTTGGCCAATCTCAATTGTTTCATCAGCTATAGCTTGTGATAGAGTGGTGGTATCATGTTCCCTTTCCATCATCCATGTTTCAGTATCATCAGGCTTACTGAGCATCTTTTGATCATCATTCACCTACGTAAACAGTGCCGCAACAAATTGACTAGTAAGAAGTTGGAACTTGGAAAAGATTCAGAAACATTTAGATAACTACTTACAGTGTCTAAGCTAAGAATCTGATAAACTTATATGTAGAGGTTCCCATAAAACTCGTTATAATTTTTATCTCCAATAGTGTAACTTACCTGAGTTTCTGTCTCTTTGATCTGGTCTACTGTTACTTTGCGTGATGCCTCAGAATCACCTAGATCTTCTAGACTGTTAATTTGATCGACTACTTCACCTTCACTGCACATATTATTACTGTTGTTGACAGGAGCATCTAATGAGGGACCATCATTGTCTTTTCCTTCTTCCAGTAGCTGAGTAATGTTCAAATCCTTCTTCATTTCGATGTTCTCACTTGAATGAGTAACCTCAAGTTCTGTTGTCTAATTAAAGAGAATTGTATTGGTGAAGTGTAGAAGAATGATTAAAAGTTGCATCCATTTACAAACATATTATCTCCTAGATAGATGCTAAATTAATTTGAATTTCCAGCATCAGTAGCTATATTTCTACCTCTTGGCAAATCTTAATCGGTTCATCGGCTATAGCTTCTAATAGAATGGTGGTATCATGCTCCTTAGCCATCATCTGTATTTCAATATCATCAGACCTACTGGTCGTCTTTTGATCATCACTCATGTCTTGGCATATCTTAATTGTCTTATCATTTGTAGCTTCTGATCGAATGGTGATATTTTGCTCCCTGTCCATCCTCGGTATTTCAATATCATCAAGTTCACTGATCATCTTGTGATCATCAGTCACCTAGATTAATAGTGCCATTACAAATTGACTAGTAAGAAGTTGAAACTTGGAAAAGATTCTAAAGTATTTAGTTAACTAATTGTGTTTCTAACTAACAATTCAGGTAAACTTGTTTGTAGAGATATAAAACCTGTTATAGTTATTCTCCGACCATACCTGACTTTCTATTTCTTTGCCCTGGTCTTCTGTTGCTTCGCACGATGCCTCGGAATAATCTTGATCTTTTAGACCCTTAGTCCAGTCCCCTCTTCCTTCACTGCATTTATTATTGCTGTCATTGACAGGAACATCTATTGAGGGACCATCATTATCTTTTCCTTCTTCAGGTGGATGAATAGCATTCAAATCATTGGCACTATTGCATGGAATGGAACCACCAATTGCCACATTTAGGTCAGTTGTTGCAACATCCTGCTAAAAGAAAACATCATCCACAACTGCACATGACTTTTAAAGAAGAAAGATGGATATTAATTTTGTTTCTTTTAGATAATAGCTGTTTATTTTCCAAGTCTAAAGTTATCTAGCAGTCATGAACTTCATTTATTAATACATTTTGACGAATAGCAATGATTCATGGAGATGGAGTTAGTGGTAAGACATCTGAGTCATGCATTTGTTTTAACCAAATTTGTAAAGTGGAATGAAGTAATGATCTTTTGGTGTATTCTTCTACCTTTTCCAACTTAATTACCTTCCACAAATTGGTTTCAGATACTCCTGATGAACCTGGCATAGTAACATGCTTCTTATAGGGATAAAAGGCTCGTGCCATACACAATCTGTATTTTGATTTTGCTGTGTCGATTTAAGCATGTGCTTCTACATCTAGGCTTATATTGACTTGATTGGTGAGTAATAAAACTTTTGGCCTAGGAGAACTATGAAAATTATCAACAACATTTTCTCTAAGAACAACTAGCCCTTTTCTATAAAATTTGGTAGATTCCCAGTAATGCGCTGGTGTTACTTTTTTTTACCCATATATCCATCTTTTCATGGTAACAAAGACAGAAAGCTTTCTTTTTCTTTTTGGGTTCTGTCCGTGTGTATGTGGTGGGCTGAGGGAAGTTTAGAAGACATTCACACGAAAGGTGACACTTGTTCTAATTAACTCAAACCCACCTTTGTAGCAGGTTCATTCATTTCATTTTCCTGTTTAAATGAAACCTCAATTTCCGTTTTTTCAGCTGTTGAAACTGTGAAGTTGTCCTTTGCTTCAGAATCAGCATCGATGAACTGTGTTGAATTACCCAAGTCGTCATCCACTGGATAGCTATCCTCTACCTGTATGAGGAATGGTTCTCGCTTGAGTAATGAAGAAAACGAGATTGAAAGAAATTTTTGATTCTTCAATAGTAAAAACATTGATTATAGTAGGTATATATACACATGACGAGTAATAGGAAAAGGAAACTAATCTTCTAAAATAGGAATAAAACTATTCTACCAAAAAACTAAAAGATTACAATTACTAATTGATTATAATTACTATATCTTGTCTTCTTTCCATACTTGGACTCGGACCTTTTCTACACTCCCCCTCAAGTTGAACTGTAGATGTTGATTATGTTCAACTTGCTAATAAGGTCGTCAAATGTTGGTTTGGATAACCCTTTTGTAAATAAATCTGCGGTTTGTTCTTTTGTAGGAATGTATGTCATACAAATGATTCCACTGTCCACCTTTTCTTTGATAAAATGTCTGTCCACTTCCACATGTTTTGTTCTATCGTGTTGTACTGGATTGAGAGAGATGTTAATAGCTGCTTTATTATCGCAATAGAGTTTGATTGGAAACTCGACTCCGACTTTTAGTTCCTTCAAGAGTTTCTTTATCTAAAGTCCTTCACATATTCCTTGTGCAACGGCTCTAAATTTAGCTTCAACACTGCTTCTGGCTACCACATTTTGTTTCTTACTTCTCCAAGTTGTCATATTTCCCCACACAAATGTGCAATAGCCAGTAGTTGATTTTCTGTTTTCTATGGATCTAGCCCAATCGGCATCTGTGAATATTTCTACTCCTTTCTTTTGATGTTTTCCAAAGAACAAGCATTTTCCAGAAGTTCCTTCTAGATATCTGAGAATTTTATATACTGCTTCCAGGTGAGCCTCTTTAGGAGAGTGCATATGCTGAATAACCATACTGACGGCGAAAGCAATGTCGGGTCTAGTGTGTGAGAGGTAGATCAATTTACCGACTAATCTTTGATACCTGTCTGTTTCTACGGGTTTTCCAGTGTCCTTTTTCACTTTTCCTGCCTCAATTAGGGGTGGGCGCGGGTCGGTTCCGTTCGGTTCTAAAGAGAACCGAACCGAACCAAAATTTTCGGGTATCTAGTAAATGGAACGGTCGGGTCCAAATATAATTATAGAACCGTTCGGGTTCGGTTCGGTTCAATTCGGTTCGGTTCGCTTCTGTTCTGTACTATAATTAAATTTTTTAACATTTATAACAATATTATATAAATACAACTAATGATACATTCAATGGTTTTGGAATGTTAGAGACTAGTAAACTACCTTGTTCAAATGATCACTATGGTTAAAGTTTCGATCGGCGTAGGTCACAGCTTCGATCGGAGGTCACAGTGTCGACCGACGATTATATAGATTTTGAAATATTAGTGAGGTTACGAGAGTGAGTATGAGAGTCGAGACAACGTTATGTACTTTAGTGTAGGTGTTTAGGGTTATTTAGTGGATTGGATCTTGTTGGACTAAGAAATGAAACAATAAAATGGGTAATTGGTCCGAAAATTAAAAAATTAGAAATTAAACAAATTATTGGGCCAAAAATTTGGATTTAGAAATTGTTAATTTGTTAATTTGTTTGGAAAAAATTAAAATATTTTAATTTACTCAATATAAAAAAAAATTAGAAAGATTCGGTTCTTATTTGGTTCTTCGGTTCTTGGTCTAGAATCGAGAACCGAACCATACCCGTCGGTTCTCAATTCAGATACCCGTTCGGGTATTTAATTTCACAAGAACCGTCGGGTTCGGTTCGGGTCCGGAGATTTGCCCAGCCCTAGCCTCAATAGGTGTATCACTTGGTTTGCATCCTAACATACCAGTTTCGGTTAGCAGATCAAGAATATATTTTCGTTGGGAAACACTGAAACCTATTTTTGATCTTGCAATTTCCATTCCTAGGAAATATCACATATGTCCAAGGTCTTCTACCTCAAATTCAGTTGCTAGGCACTGCTTTAATCTTTCTATTTCAGCTATGTTGTCCCCTTTCAAAATGATATCATCCACATAAACAATTAAGATAGTCTTTGCTCCATTTCCTGATTGATGGTAAAACATGGTGTGATCCGATTGTCCTTGCTCATATCCTTGAGTTCTCAGTACCTTTGCAAATCTATCAAACCACGATTTAGGTGACTGTTTTAGTCCATATAAGGACTTTTTGAGTTTACACACTTGATTTTCCTCATTTAACCTGTTGAAACCTGGTGGTATTGTCATGAAAACTTCTTCTTCTAGTTCCCCATTGAGAAACGGATTCTTAATGTCCAACTGTTGAAGTGGCCAGTCTAAATTCACTGCTAACGACAAGAGAACTCGAATTGTATTTAATTTTGCCA